ATAATTTTAGAAGTGAAATTTCTATTTTCTAGATTAAAAAAGTAACTAGTTGGCTTTTCTCCTTCCTCTTCCCATTTAGCTCTTGATCTCACTATACTTCCCTTAATTTTTTTAACTCTGATTTCCTCCAGTTCCCTCTTCTTTCTATCTATTTCTGCTACATCAATAATCTCTTCTTTTTCCAATGCCTCAATAGACTTATTAAGCTCATTTTCCTGTATATTTTGTAATTTCTTTTTGTAAGCAGCATACGATATAGTTTTACCTCTAATATTCATCAACAAAGTTTCAAGAAATAACTGATCATTGATTTTCAATTGTAATTCATCATCCGCAATAAGATCAAGATTTTCCAAATTGTAAACAGGAAGACAGTATTGCACTTTTGTTTCATTAATTACATTTTTAACAACGTCTATATATTCTGTATCATATAAAAGAGAGTTATTAAATTTCCATAATCCTTTACCTTTTTTAAATTCCTGAAGTTTAACTGTAAGTTTCGGAAAAGAGTGATCAGAACGATAACCTGCCTCTATAGATGGCCCTTTCACACTACCTAATAAATTTTCTGAAATTAAAAAGAAATCTAATCTTGACTGTTTCAATGGATTTTTTTTCCTCCAAGTATACCTTTGGTAATCAGGGTAATACTCTCTAAAAATATCAACTAGATTATAATTTTTAATAATATCTAAAACTTTATCTCTAGCTTTTGGGTTATTCACAGTGGTGTAACTATTATCGTAATCTTTATTTTGATCTAGAACAAGATTAAAATCTCCACATATCATTACCTTATCATTTCCAAAACTATCAATTGTGTCAGACAATGTATTGTAAAAAAATGGATCATCTAAGTTGGGCCCATACAAGTTAATAAGCGTAATACACATATCTTTCAGTTGAACTTCAACTGCCAGAAAATTCCCAGTCATATCCTTCTTTTCCTTAGTTACTTTAAATTCAAAATTATTATTAAATAGAATAGCAACACCCCTAGAATTCGATTTAAAAGAATTAAAATAGCATTCATATCCCCACTCACTACGAATCATGCCTTCCTTTTCCCTGATGAAATGGGTATCTTGTATACAATAGATATTATAATGTTTCTGTCTTAAATAAGAAAACACATCTTTTCGTTTGATATGATCCCCCAGTCCCTGACAGTTAGCCGATAGAATATTTAATTCATCCATAATCGAAGTGATATATGTGATCACCAGTAGGAAAAAGCTTCACCATAAAAAAACTTGCGAGAAACAGGAAAGCGGCAGAGAGAAAGCTAGTAGTCGAGAGAACCATCTCTAGATCCAGATGAGGTAGAAGAAAAAGGAGCATTAAAGTTCTGCAGAGAAGAAATGAAAGAGGTGTAAGTAAAAGCATTTTTGAGTGGCCAAGACACACTGGACCACCACTGAGCACTTACAAAATCCAGCTGAGAGCAGGCCTGCTTGTTGTTATCACGGATAGCCGGAAGTCAAATGTACAGACTAAACATAAGGGTAAAAACCGGACCGGATCAAATTTTCCGGAAATACATGGTATTACAAGGAAAATGAATACGGCTATTATGGCATCATTCAAATAGAGAATATATATATATCTATATATCTGTAAAAATACTAAATCAAATAATAATGAATGGGATATATATAAGGTAATAGATAAATAAATAGATCATAATATAAGTACATGGGGAAAAATTAGATCACCATAAGCAAACGAAAGCAACTCACCCTATAAGCAATAGGAAGTCCTTAATCCATTACATCCCATGAATTCTATACACTCACATCGCACATACATGTATGCCACAACCATTATATTATATATACGAGAGAAAAAAACCCCAGACAACGTCGGTCTTTGAGACACTAGCTTGTCTGAGAGATCGGCACCAGTTCACATGACTGGTGTAAAGTCCTTACCGATCTCTATTATGGCACAGTTAGTTCCTGAAGTTGTCATCGTTTAATAGGAATGATTCCTCCAGTGGCGTGTCAAACATGAGTCTTCGTCTTTTCCCATTAGTAAGAACCACGAACAGTTTTCCGTCAGAACTGTAGGAGTTCTTTACACAGTTCATTCTGTATGCGTCCTTGAGTATCTGCTAATTTAATCGCGTAAGATCCTCAAACACCACAAAGTTAGTTCCTTTCAGCTTCTTGCGGGCACGAAGAATTTCCTGTTTTTTCCATCTATGTGTAAACTTTACAATAATGTTCCGTGATTTGGAGGCACTAAATTTACCCAGCCTATGGGCGATGTCAATATCTCTCTCCTGCACAGGAACCTTCAAAGTATCACGGACAAATGTAACAACCGAGCGAACACAGTCCTCTACAGTTTCTTTCGTGTTTTCATCTTGGATCCCAACAATCCTCAAAGAATTCTTTCGTCCCTGTTGCTCAAGGCCATTGTATTTGCCAATCATTTCACTATGCTTTTCCTTGACTTTTTCACACTGTTCCTCCAATTTCGACACTGTGAGTCTGAGATCCGTATTCTCATCCTCAAGATCTGAGACTCTGTTCTCCAGTAGCTCGATTCTCTCCGCGTGCTCTCTCTGTATCTCAATCTTTAGTTTCTCGAGTTTTGCGTCTAGAATATCCTCAGTAATAAGTGTCCTGAGAATCATAGAAATTTCATCAAGTCTCTCGTCCGTAGATTTTTCGGTAGGATTAGATCCAATACCGCTGCTTCTGTTGGTGGCACTCTGGGTACGAGTCTTACTCGGAGGCATCGTGAATAACGTCCAGATGGAATAAACAGATATTATATATATAATTTCAACGTCCGACTATGTAAGTTGGTTACACACACAAAGGCGTACCAGGCAAGCGTGCTACATAAAGGCGCTACGTATGAGACCAGTAGTGCTGAGTAGTGGTCAAGTTCTGCCGGTCAGTCCATGATAACTATTAATTAACACATAATATGTATTTTCTAGTGAAAATACACAAGATCGTCACTTTCACTCCGATAGATAAAGCTATCAACTAGCCCATATCCAAATATAAGGTTGTTATACTCTGTTTCTGTAGAGAAAATTCGGCGTTTTTACGGAGCGATATGAAAGTCGACTGTCCAGGTCGGCGTGACCTTGACCTCTCCTGTTAATGTACACTATCAGTTACATAACAATTACTAAGTAATCGCTGGAAAAATGTCCGACGACGGCAACAGTACGCAAAATTTTCTTCGACGAAATTATGTCCGATACGAACGATATGGGGAATCCTGTTTTTGTACAAGGCGATGTGGTTGTGATGGATAATTGTGGATTTCATCACCATAGACAGGGAGAGCGCATTTTAAGAAATATGCTGAAAGAATATGGCGTGTCCCTGGTTTTTCAGCCGCCTTATTCCCCGGAATACAACGTAACTGAATATGTATTCAATGTCATGAGACAGAGGCTGCGGGCAAATACCCGACTTGTGTCAGAATTTCTGGAACTTGCAGTAGTAAATGCTCTAGATATTCCGCCCAAACAACTTCAAAGTTTTTTCACATGTTGCGGATATGTATAATTTTCGATGGAAAGATAAAAAATAAAATAAAAAATATATGGGACCACAGAATTCCTTTATTTTTTAATGCAGTATGAATTATCGGCATATATCAGGAGGTCCCAGGTAAATCGTAATTCTTTGTTACATATAATAGAGCTTGGGCTTAAACCGAAATATTTTGAGCCAACCCTCCCCCCCTCCCCCCTTTCAAAAAAATAAATAAATAAATAAAACTAGTACAGAATGACTATATGACTATATTCACTGTTAAGATGTTATGAATTCTCCGGTCCCAGTGATCTAACCTGTTGGTATATATTTTGTACGTAAATTAGTTTAGTACTGAGTAACTTTCGTTTTCTCGTTGTACCATCGATGGAAAAGCAAGGTATCATTGGGTGTAGAACGAAACAAATGGGACAACCCAATTAGATCTGATCTGAAGCCACCCTTGACTTGGACTCTTCCAATTAACCTCTCGCGACAGTCGAGTGTTTGTAAAATGCCGATGTCTGCACAGTATTTTTTCACCTGGCTCCACCCACAATCGATCTAGACTTGGCTCTGCCAATCAGAGAGCTTGTTGCATAAATTTAAGGAATTCGATTGGGTGAAGTACTTCAGTACAATACTATCAATACTTTGTTCAGTACTACAGTACTTGAAACGTTCACACCTTCCCTTCATTGGTAGTAAAACGAGAATGTGTTCTATTTTAGCCACCTCTACGTTTTTCTTAGGCACACCGTTCTGTAATTGTCCAGACCTCTGTCAATCAAAATATGTTTATAGACAATGCTTTATATATATCAATTTATTTTTCTCCGTAGTTGCTTGTGTATCAAAAAATCAATATTTATATGTGTAAAGCAACTTAAACGTACAGGTTATGAGATATGAAACAGTCGTTGTAATGCTTCCCCATACGAGGTATTGACATAGTGATTAGATAGATCAAAATGATACCATAACTTATCACTTAATAAGTCGTTAGAAAAATTATACCTAATAATGATGCTTCATTTAAAAAATAGACGATTATATATAAAACATTTTTTATGAAGACGAGACATTTCGAATGATGTCAAAATCTCGTCGTCCGATCATTTTTAATAAAATTTGTGATACTTATTTGATTATATTATTGGTTCTTGAATACAATGAATTACATATTCAGTAAATTATAGTTCCTGTGCCTGTTTAATGTCGAATGTTTTATTTCAAAATTTTCCTAAGATTGACAGTTAGGTAAATATTTGTACTCACTATCATATTAACAATGTGAGGACTATTTAATGTAAGCAGTTTATCGGCGTATCCTATGTGAAATACAGATGGAATCAAAACAATGATTCACGATGACCAGACCAAAAAAACAAAAACAACAAAAACAAAAAACAAAAAAAAACTCACTAATCCCGACTTAAAGATCACAAATGATCATACTTTTCGTCCACTGACAGACAGGCAGTTTTGGTCTTATCTAAGCTGTTCCAAAGTGTCATAGCTACTGTAGCAGGCTGCACCATCATGTGCTGATGTGGTCTTAATGTGATCATACTCAAAGTAAGCCTGATCGTCTTTAATATCCTCTTTCCCAAAAGAATCATATTGCGAACAAAAGTCACCGGTGTGATCGTACACATCGTTGACCGAATCCTTAACATGCCTCACACTATTTAAATGATTGTATGTATACGAACCATTAGCTTCGGTTTTGCCAACATTATCCAACACATCCGAGCACATAGCATTGATTTGACTCACATCGATTTCATCATACTTGGGAGACATGTTCTCTCTCTTGTGTGAAACGGAATTGTCAGAACGCTCATTTTCTCGTTCGCGGTGACGTTTTATCAGACATATGACGGCAATGATAACGACGGCGATAACTAGAGTTACAGAAGTACCGATTATAGGAAGTAGGATAGAAGACGACCGCGCTATATCAGTAACAGAGAGCGGTGTTGTTCGAAGAGATAGATTTGAAGAGGTTTGATCCGGTGAAAAGGGTTCTTTAGAAAAGTTATTCTTCGGTGTACTCAGTTTATCAATAATTGTCATTGTATTGTATTCTGATTGTGTTGTACTGATAACATTGTCATTCTGTTCACAGAGGACTGGCAATCGAGTAGAGCAATTTCTTAGTCGTAGTTTCCACAACGTCTTTTCTGAGGAAATATGTAGAGCTGGACATTGTCCGTGACCAATGTTGTTATATCTCCAATCGAAACGTTGAAGTTTATACATGCCTATCCAGTAGGAAGTATTGTTCTGTATAACAGTTCTTGTGGTTGTGAATATATCGGTATTGTTTTTATCTAATCCCGAAAGTAACTGTTTATTGTGGGCACACACTGCAAGAGCATTGTTCCAATTTCCGTAATTCCCTGTCCCGTAAACAACTAGATTGTTTTGATTTGTGTTACTGCACACGAACGTATGATTAGAAGAACAATGTTTGGGAATAAATTCATACCTGTTGTTATTTTTAGTAAGTGTCATACAATTCCCATTGTTGCTTAAATCATTACCCGGGTTAAATTGTCTATATCCACACACACACGTGTTATTACCACAGAGACTGTCGTTACGATGCCCGCACACATGTCCAGGGCAGGAATGACCACGTGTGTAAGTCCTACCACCCAAGCAATAACACGTCGTCTTCGTTATCGCAAACTCACTTGAAGAACATTTTCCCAAGCAAGCCTTTACAGGATTTAGATCGTTTGATATGTCAATACTTTCATTTCTAATCCCATTTTTGAAACTGGCATTATAATGAAAACAGCCTGTAATGTTGACCCACTGAGGTGAACGCACGTGCACTCCGATCCAAGCGTCTAACGGACCCGTCTGATTTAAGACATGTTTGTTGGTGATGTTGAACTTCCCGGTCTCGTCCAGTCCGGCAAGTCTACAACCAGACACTTGGTTGGCATGTTCCCATGTAACGTTAGAGTCACTCATTGTCACGTCCATACAATTACCACAACATAAAAATCCCAATACCTTGATCAGAAGGGATATATACCTGCAGCACGCCATTCTATTTGTACAGCTACCAGGAAATCATATATATATATATATATATATATATATCAGTACAAAGATAACACTGTGCTGACAGTTTAAGAACACATATCAATACCGCTATCGTCTACTCAGATTTGATATTGCCTGAATATTATAGTAAGGTTATATAGAAAAGACAAGGAAATCCGCTTGCATTCGATTTAGGTTTACACCAGACATGCACCTTGCCCTTATATCAATATATGAAGCTTCTGAGGGTGTGAATTCCATGGTCTCGTTTCATAACAAACCGCATTGACACAAGTAGGACTACATGCACTTTATGTTAAGCCTATGACTGCCTTTTGATTCAGTGAATATTAAATTTTTGCGTATTACACGTGTAATATAACCCATTATGGCCCCAAGTTTCCATGATGAACTGACGTCACACAGGCACAGATTGCATTGTAATATATCACGAGCTTCCATTTGATAAATGATTTATGACAATTTTAAAAACTATCACACTTTAATGCGCAAAATGCGACATTTTCGTCTTGCTGACTACAATTATAACTTCTTAATTGGCAGGAGATGTATTGATTTTAAAATATTAATATATAATATATAATATTAATATCAAAATATTAGAATCTATAATTATTTATGTCACACGCCTCCATAAGATGCGCACCGTTGTTGACAAGAAGGAGACGTTTTTCCTGATTTCTAACGTACACAGTTGTATCGTCATAAACATTCCTTTACTGCCACCGTTGACTCTCCATATTAACTATTTGTATTTACTCGATATATAGCCTGATTATCATACGTGATATATCCACGGTCGACATATAACAACACAAAACCTTCTCTTATGCAGAATCCGCATAGTTTTCGTTACAGCCAAATATTCGAAATAACGCCGCTTTGTCCAATCAAAATCTGTTTAATCACCTTGTGACGATAGAAAGCATGCCTATATCTAATAGAACATGAAAGATATATCAATTTCTAGAGAATTGCTTTAAGGCAATCAGAGCTATTCCATTACAAAAAAGAAATTGGCTAATACCTGTGCCAAGTTCAAGCCAAAAATGTTGTATACTCGCGATGGGACAAAGGAATGCTCAAACAAAGTCACATGTATATATATAAATCGTTTGGAAATTTGTTAGGATAGTTAAAACAGCACTACCCATCTTCCGGTGTGACGTTTTTTCGTGTCTTAACTTGGAAGTTATAGCTACACGGAGTCTTTGAATAAAAGGTTAAACGTCGATATGTTGTCAATGATGAGGTCTTAGATTGTCAATGGTGAGGACTTAGATTGTCAATGATGAGGTATTAGATTGTCAATGATGAGGTCTTAGATTGTCAATGATCTTGTCTTAAATTGTCAATGGTGAGGTCTTAGATTGTCAATGGTGAGGTCTTAGATTGTCAATGATGATGTTTTAGATTGTCAATGAACTTGTCTTAAATTGTCAATGATGAGGTCTTAGATTGTCGATAGTGAGGTCTTAGATTGTCAATGATGATGTTTTAGATTGTCAATGATGATTTTTAGATTGTGAATGATCTTGTCTTAAATTGTCAATGGTGAGGTCTTAGATTGTCAATGATGAGGTCTTAGATTGTTGAAAGTGATATCTTAGGTTGTCAATGATTAGGTCTTAGATTGTCGAAAGTGAGGTCTTATGTTGTCAATGGTGAGGTCTTAGATTGTCAATGATGAGGTCTTATGTTGTCAATGATGAGGTCTTAGATTGTCAATGATGAGGTCTTAGATTGTCAATGGCGAGGTCTTAGATTGTCGATGATTAGGTCTTAGATTGTCGAAAGTGAGGTCTTAGGTTGTCAATGGTGAGGTCTTAGATTGTCAATGATGAGGTCTTAGATTGTCAATGGCGAGGTCTTAGATTGTCAATGGTGAAGTCTTAGATTGTCAATGGTGTGGTCTTAGATTGTCAATGATTAGGTCTTAGATTGTCAATGATTAGGTCTTAGAATGTCAATAGTGAGGTCTTAGATTGTTGATGATGAGGTCTTAGAATGTCAATGATGAGGTATTAGATTGTCAATGATTAGGTCTTAGATTGTCGAAAGTGAGGTCTTATGTTGTCAATGGTGAGGTCTTAGATTGTCAATGATGAGGTCTTAGATTGTCAATGGCGAGGTCTTAGATTGTCGATGATTAGGTCTTAGATTGTCGAAAGTGAGGTCTTAGGTTGTCAATGGTGAGGTCTTAGATTGTCAATGATGAGGTCTTAGATTGTCAATGGCGAGGTCTTAGATTGTCAATGGTGAGGTCTTACATTGTTGAAAGTGAGATCTTAGGTTGTCAATGATTAGGTCTTAGATTGTCGAAAGTGAGGTCTTATGTTGTCAATGGTGAGGTCTTAGATTGTCAATGATTAGGTCTTAGATTGTCAATGATGAGGTCTTAGATTGTCAATGGCGAGGTCTTAGATTGTCGATGATTAGGTCTTAGATTGTTGAAAGTGAGATCTTATGTTGTCAATGGTGAGGTCTTAGATTGTCAATGATTAGGTCTTAGATTGTCAATGATGAGGTCTTAGATTGTCAATGGCGAGGTCTTAGATTGTCAATGATTAGGTCTTAGATTGTCGAAAGTGAGGTCTTAGATTGTCAATAATGAGGTCTTAGATAGTCAATGGTGAGGTCTTAGATTGTCAATAATGAGGTCTTAGATTGTCAATGGCGAGGTCTTAGATTGTCGATGATTAGGTCTTAGATTGTCAATGGCGAGGTCTTACATTGTCAATAATGAGGTCTTAGATTGTCAATGGCGAGGTCTTAGATTGTCAATGATTAGGTCTTAGATTGTCGAAAGTGAGGTCTTATGTTGTCAATGGTGAGGTCTTAGATTGTCAATGATGAGGTCTTAGATTGTCAATGGCGAGGTCTTAGATTGTCGATGATTAGGTCTTAGATTGTCAATGGCGAGGTCTTACATTGTCGATGATGAGGTTTTAGGTTGTCAATGTCATTCATTTTTTCATGAACATGAACAAAATATGACATAAGTAAAACCTGTTTTACAACCTTTTTCTTGTTTAACTCGTATAGACACCATTTATTGATGATATAGCTGAGGAATATCCCCAGTAATCAATTGATTTACCAAGAGAAGATTAGCTGACTAGAAGTGGCCGAGACTGGTGCGTAAAAGTTCAAACACAAGGAATAATCCATCTTATTTATTTGAAATCTGTATGATATCTCGCAAAGATCAGTTCATTCGTTTTTATTTTTAAGATAACATAATCGAAATTAAAATAAGAGGCGAGCACATCAATATTATTATCTATATTTCAATGTCTAAACATAGTGTTACATCGTGACGTACTCGAACTTTGATACACAATTTCGTGACATGTCTTGACATAGATACTTGCGCTCCAAGTGAATATCTTTATCTTCTTAGATACATCCTGTTACTCCTCCATAAACATGACTGTGTGTCTAAAACAGGCGACAACTTTAACACGATACAGATGTATGTCTCATCAAGATGACTTTTACGTTGTAGTGTATAAATACTTGTGTTGATACATTGCCAATCCACTTAAATAATGCTCTCTTACTGATGGCCATTACGCAATGGTGTGTGTATCGTGTTGTTTAATTGGATAGCTGGGCAAAATTTTATAAGTAATGTTATTACCGAAACAGCATGCGCTGTACATAGGGATTCAATTAAATGATTGGTATTACTCATAATGCAAGGTTAAATTCCATGAGCAGTAAGGTATTCTTTTTTTTCTAAATTTCTGAATGCAAATCCACTATTGCTCAGTAATATGAATGTTCCTGAAAACGAAGTTGTATAGAAAAATGCACATTTTGAACTGACTGATTTTAGCTTCACTGAAGCGTGTGTTTTACTTGTTGTCTTTTGCAAGATTTTAATGTATACATTAAACAAGATACACACTCCAACATATCCATATTAACCGGACACACACTCAAACACATCCATACTAACCGGACACACCCTTCAATACATCCATATTAACCGGACACACACTCCAACACATCCATATTAACCGGACACACACTCCAACCCATCCATACTAACCGGACACACCCTTCAATACATCCATATCAACCGGACACACACTCCAACACATCCATATTAACCGGATACACACTCCAACACATCCATATTAACCGGACACACACTCCAACCCATCCATACAAACCGGACACACCCTTCAATACATCCATATCAACCGGACACACACTCCAACACATCCATATTAACCGGACACACACTCCAACCCATCCATACTAACCGGACACACACTTCAATACATCCATATTAACCGGACACACACTCCAACACATCCATATTAACCGGACACACACTCCAACACATCCATATTAACCGGACACACACTCAAACAAATCCGTATTAACCGGGCACACACTTAAACATATCCATATTAACTGAACACACTCCAACACATCCATATTAACCGGACACACACTCAAACACATCCATATTAACCGGACACACACTCAAACATATCCGTATTAACCGGACACACACTCAAACATATCCATATTAACTGAACACACTCCAACACATCCATATTACCCGGACACACACTCCAACCCATCCATACAAACCGGACACACCCTTCAATACATCCATATTAACCGGACACACACTCAAACACATCCATATTAACCGGACACACACTCAAACATATCCGTATTAACCGGACACACACTCAAACATATCCATATTAACTGAACACACTCCAACACATCCATATTACCCGGACACACACTCAAACATACATATTAACCGGACACACACTCCAACACATCCATATTAACAGGACACACACTCCAAAACATCCATATTAACCGGACACACACTCCAACCCAACCATACTAACCGGACACACCCTTCAATACGTCCATATTAACCGGACACACACTCCAACACATCCATTTTAACAGGACACACGCTCAAGCACATCCATATTAACCGGACACACACTCCAGCACATCCATACAAACCGGACACACCCTTCAATACATCCATATCAACCGGACACACACTCCAACACATCCATATTAACCGGACACACACTCCAACACATCCATATTAACCGGACACACACTCAAACATATACATATAAACCGGGCACACACTCAAACATATCCATATTAACCGAACAAAGTCCAACACATCCATATTAACCGGACACACACTCAAACATATCCATATTAACCGGACAAAAAAAATCCAACCCATCCATACTAACCGGACAAACCCTTCAATACATCCATATTAACCGGACACACACTCCAACACGTCCATATTAACAGGACACACACTCCAACACATCCATATTAACCGGACACACACTCAAACATATCCATATTAACCGGACACACACTCCAACACATCCATATTAACCGGACACACCCTTCAATACATCCGTATTAACCGGACACACCCTTCAATACATCCATATTAACCGGACACACACTCCAACACATCCATATTAACCGGACACACCCTTCAATACATCCGTATTAACCGGACACACACTCAAACAAATCCGTATTAACCGGGCACACACTTAAACATATCCATATTAACTGAACACACTCCAACACATCCATATTAACCGGACACACACTCCAACATATCCATATTAACCGGACACACACTCAAACACATCCATATTAACCGGACACACACTCAAACATATCCGTATTAACCGGACACACACTCAAACATACCCATATTAACTGAACACACTCCAACACATCCATATTACCCGGACACACACTCAAACATCCATATTAACCGGACACACACTCCAACACATCCATATTAACAGGACACACACTCCAACACATCCATATCAACCGGACACACACTCCAACCCATCCATACTAACCGGACACACCCTTCAATACGTCCATATTAACCGGACACACACTCCAACACATCCATTTTAACAGGACACACACTTAAACACATCCATATTAACCGGACACACACTCAAACACATCCATACAAACCGGACACACCCTTCAATACATCCATATTAACCGGACACACACTCCAACACATCCATATTAACCGGACACACACTCAAACACATCCATATTAACCGGACACACACTCAAACAAATCCGTATTAACCGGACACACACTTAAACATATCCATATTAACCGAACACACTCCAACACATCCATATTAACTGAACACACTCCAACATATCCATATTAACCGGACACACACTCCAACACATCCATATTAACAGGACACACACTCCAACACACACATATCAACCGGACACACACTCCAACCCATCCATACTAGCCGAACACACCCCTCAATACGTCCATATTAACCGGACACACAATCCAACACATCCATTTTAACAGGACACACGCTCAAACACATCCATATTAACAGGACTCACACTCCAACACATCCATATTACGCAATATCAATGTGTTCATAAACATCATCATGAAGATTAACATGAAGACAGACAAGGGAAGTATAGTGACGGGCATCATGTAGTTAATATATATAACTATAGATAGAATGTACTATTCCGTAATTTGTACAATTTTTATTTTTTCGATTTCTTCTGTTCTAACAAAAATAACTTTATATATCTCTCCTTTACTACAAGTTTCGACTTATCATTATCAAAGATATAAAATATAGATAAATGCGTAATAATATTGCGTAAGTTTTATGTTTCATCTGCAGTTCATTATGCTCGTCTTATAAGTCAATAAATTCAACTGTATTTAATGGAACGTTATTATTATTGATCTTACCAAAAAGAACTGGTTGTATTACACTAGATGTGGATACGCAAGGTAGCACGAAGCCAACATTATTTTTTGTTTTTGTTGCGTGACGGCCAGTAAGCGTGACAAGGACGGCGCGCGCCTGCTGGATTTTTTCTTGTTCATGCGGGGTACTGATATTCTGTGAAATCTCATCATGGCCAGAGGTGTTATTCGAGGTGTGTTGATCGTCAATGTGGTTCCATGTTGTTTAATGATGTTTATTGAACAAATCAACTTTTCTACAATACGAAGGGAACAATGTTAAATGATGTTCACCTGGAAACTTTTTCAATGATAGTTGTCAATTTATAACCTAAAGTCAATCATGTCACTTCTCCAAGACTGGTTTTTCAGGAATTTCCCTATAATTAGCAGAGTGACTGTTATCAAGACGTTAGTATTTCCTATCATTATACAAATACTAACTGATATACCTAGTCCACATGTTGAAATCCAAAAAAATCCAAATTTTAAATTGATAAACTCAACAGGAATATTTTAGTGGGTGGTTTTAAAGATGGACTATGAGAGGTAGAAAATAGGTACAATTTTGGAAAACTCTAGAAGGAAATTACGTCTATTTGGGGAAACCTTTACGAACCCTACCCGGCAGCCACAGAAAACTTTCTCTCTCAGCCTCAGTGGTTCAATAAAGAAATTAAAGCTTATGGAAAAACTACATAAATCTTCTTCAAAAATCTGTGTAGTGAAGTAATCTTCTAAATGTTTAAAACGTAGTAGACAAGCATGGAATATGTCTTTGAACAGTTTTATTAAGAAAAACCAAATAAATATTAATTTCATAAATTTTAATAGTATTATAAGTGTAATACTGAAAGGCTGGGAGAGAATGATAACTAATTATGGAAAAATATTGATCACGTTTAGCGTAATAATTTGAGGCAACCGTCAAAGTATTTCTGTCACAAACTATTATCAACTGTATTGACCTTTCTTCAACATTCTCATGAAAGGCGGTACACTATTGTGGATAATTTTCTAAGGCATCACAACTGGAAAGACATTTATACTCTTCCATTTCGTGAGGCAAATGACTCAAAACTAGTGACATAAAAAGTTTTCAATACAGAATTACTCACAGAATATTTTTTTTACAAATTCAATGTTATATGAACGAAAAAGTTTAGCACATCAGGAGTATAGCTTTTGTACTGAGGCACCTGAAACAATATAACTTTTTTCGGGATTGTACACATAGTATATCACTTTTGACATGCTTTATAAATTCAGTTTTTCTCACAAATAATGTTGTTCTGGAAAAATCCTGCCACTTTCTTTTTTGGCATATGTTTAAGTCTATCACTTAATAAGAAATACATTTCGCTACTGCGACAAAGCAATACAATTCCAAATTGGAAAATATGCAAGATTTTTATTCGAAAATACAGAAACCTTTATCTATACTCGACCCAAACAGCGAACAAGATCCAGAAAAAAATTGAAAGTGTCAAATCTATTTTAGAACAAATCTATATCGGAGTTTTAGTATGATTTTGATTCCAACTGAAAGCTCGAGAAGATATTTTGTCGGTCAAGATATTTTCCATTTTTCGTGTTGCGGTAAGTTTATTGAGGGTAAAGATGTTTCACAACACTTTCGTTTAAAGTGGATCACATGTGTGCAGTTTGTTGGTTTAGAAATACTACACACAATACCGCATAATGCTCGCTATAAACTTTTCTATGGATGGCAAAATATATATCAACAACTACACATATTCTAATATCAACTAGCTAAGCTCAAGTTTCATCCAGGTTGACCAGTCATGATCCACAAGTACTAAAATTCTATATGGTAATATGCATGAAATAGCAATTGTGTAGATAGACATAAACTACTTAACATGCTTTCGAGCTAAATTTTCTTTATACGTTTTTCACAACAGGTATATCTTTAATTTATATTTCACGTTTGAAAATATTCTGCTGAATGCTGATGTCGTTAAGGCCTTTTAACTTCAAATTGGAGTAGCAATGATGGGAAATATTATTCTTAATAAACATAAGGTTAACATGGACCACTTCGCACGATGTAAGAAGTAAACTAAAGAATACGTAGATATATGAAATGAAGGTTACAGCTATCAATGCTTTTTCTCCCTTAGTAACACAATTGTTCATGACTATCTAATTGCCCTTTACTTTAGCTAACGAAGGATTTAATTGATAGTAAATAATCAATGTCTTCATTGAACATGAACAGAAAGTATCTCTTTATTTCTCGGGGATTTAGCTACTTCATCTCAGTATTGTTGCATAGTCATGCGTGTTGGCGGAACGCCAGGATACGTCGTAAATGTAACTTTCGCTGTTTCCAACACTGATTTGTTCATAATGTGCAGAGGCTGTATCAACAACCTCTTGTCCATTGTTTGAAGTCTGGTGGTCGACGTTCTTCTTCCAGTATCGGAATATAACTACTGATGTTATTGAAGCCAATGCTGTAAACACTATACCACATACTAGCCCGATCAACCATTGGGTGACTTCATATCCCTCTGATCCGCCATTGCCTGTCGGTGGGGTTGTTTCTTCATTGGAAGGTGTCAAATCGCTGTAGTTTAGCTGGCATAATAGAGGTAACGGAGAATCGCACTTCTCCACCAATGGAGTAAGTTTGCCCTCCTTGTTGACGGATGCTGATAAACAGTCATCGTGTGCTCTTGGTGATGTGTCGGTTGCCCAATTAAATATCTGTTTACGAAATATACCTACCCAAAACTTCGGAGGTCTTATTGGTCTATTCACGAGTCGTCCGTCATAAAATTGTTGTCCGTTCTGATGACATGAAAACCCCGCTTCTGTCCAATTCTTGTATTCATGGCGCTCAACCAATTTTGGTGTCCCGTCTCTTTCCTTTTCGCAAAGATACATATGTTTTTCACTACAGTTTGTTGTCTCAAGTAGACTTATGCCATTAGGATGTGTAACTGTTTTGCAATTTCCAATTTTGCTATCACTATCTTCATGGTTGTTAATGGTCGTATACCAGCAAAGACAAGTACGTGTCCCTAACGCACCATCACTACCGCAAAATTCTCCGGTGTTCAAAGGGCATGGTGTTGCAGCACAATATTCACTCCCTCTGGGCGGAAATCCCCTATTCAAACAAACACAACGATCCCTTGATAATCCAACGCTATGTTTACCACAAAACTTGAAACATTCAGAGACGCTATGGCTTCCTAATTTCGAGAACAATCCTTGAATATTTGTTTGAAAACATCCCCTTAAATGCATCCACTTTGTGTAGTTGACATATGCCCCAATCCAATACCGTTTATTATCAGTAATCCCTCGTACTCGGATGTCTTCCACTTTTTCTGTGATGAATTCACGTCCAAGTAAATGACAGTCTGATTTGCGCATTCCTTCCTGCCAGGTTCTCGGTATGGGAGACACATTGCCGGTGATCAAAACTAAGGCACCGGTCAGTGCAACATTCATCATATAAACCAAACACAAACCTACGACTGAACTCACCATAGTGGTTTATACAAATTATTACATGAACTTAAGAATGAATGTATATATACTTATTTTGTCTGTTACGTCATTGAAGCTATTCGCCCATCCGGTTGATGACACAGCCAATGATACATGATTCACAAGTGGTCGAAGTACCACTTCATACGTCCGGTTCGACATCCTCGCAAAGACAGAAAATGTTCAAATTTAGGATATGATTATGAGAGAACTATTTTCTTCGTAGAAAATGATTTCCTCAAAATCTACTTCATTAGATAAAAAAAGTAATAAAGTACTGTCTCAGATTGATAACCAAATACTATACTAAATTTTCAAGTACAAAACCATCATATCAGTTACGAAAGGACATCAAAAAGTTTGAGCCTCACAAAGAAAAAGTAAGATATTTGCATTTATACTGCTTTAATTTTCCGTCTTCCATTTCCGCACAGTAGTTTGCCAGTCACTAATAGGGACAGTATTCAACATCTTGGCCAACTAACAAGCCCTCCAAAGCAGACCTGAAACCTATCATCGCTATAAATAATCAGCCCGAGAATAGTGTTGGTGAGGGAGTTCATAGCGCCAATCTTCAATCCTAACGCGGCTGATGTGAACTGATTTGGAGGTTTCATGATAATGGTAATGATATGTTTAATGATAAAGCAAGGTGTCATCATAGGTAACACCCCAAAAATGGAAGTTATGTAGGTCGTTGATGCTCTAAGTTAGCAAGTCTCCATTGATGCTTTCTTGCGATCCATCTTTCACATGCCTTGGACATGTATAGATGAACGAGTGTAAGATATGTTTCTATCGTGTTCGTAGGATATGGATGTTCCACTTGAGGGTCACAAAATATAGTGGAACCGAGGGTTTGCCGAGGCTCTATCCGAGGGTCACAAAATATGTTGAAATCCGACAATCTGCCGAGGCCTCATCCAAGGGTCATAAAACAGGTTGAAACCCGAGGTTCTGGCAAGGGTTTTTTTCATAACTTTTTCAATTATAGCAACATAGCAAACGTTTGGAAACCATGACATTTTCTTTTCTCATGAAGTTACAAGTATTATCTTTGTCTTCTATTTTTTCATCGAGAGAAAACTACAGCTGCACTAGGGTATATTGAATAAGTGGCGAAGCTGATATTGTGTAATTTACTCGGGTTCTACTCTAGGTATCCCTAATTATCTGAACAAATTAGAAAGTTAATCCTTATATTTCATTTCAATCCATTCAACACTTTCAATATAAGAGCAATAACTGATGCAATGCTTTATTATAAAAACTATAACAATTCGATTTCAATTGTGATACAGAACTACATATGTATTCTTAACGTCATTATATTTAGTTAATATAATGTTATTTTCTGTATATTTCTTTATTCACACGCAAAAATTCAACGAAAAAAAGCTAATCCGAAAGGCACATGATAAAAAAAATCATAACGGACTTTTACCTGTTTAAAAATTTACAATTTACAATATCAAACACATGACGTTTAGTATGAAAGATAAAATAGCTACCTGTGTTGGGGTTGAGCGTACAAACACTAAAATATATCCCCCATTTTTTCCCGTCGAAATCTTTTTCTTTCCTCACTTAAGAGTTGCTTATCAAACTTATTAAACAGATCAGAGTTATCTCCCTTCTCTTGATACATTTTTAGATATATAGAAACATGTGTATGATTGATACCTGCAGAGACTGATGAATGAAATTAGATCACCTTGACTGTGGATGCAGTTTTGACACCAGAAGTTTCATTGAATACATTGTTAACCGAGTTTTTAAAACGATTTTTGCATGCTACATATTTCAGACGTTTTATGTTGATCGTGAATAGATTTAATACAAATCTGTATCGGTAAAATCCTATCAGAAAAAAAGTGGGGAGACGCGTTGTCTTCTATGGTGAACCTGCTATATGAGTTTCCTGGCAAAAGGTAAGTTTGTTACACAGCTTGCACATTGTAATTATTAACTGTTTGTTTTATTCTGAATCACACTTATAATTAGTAACATCAGATAACTTCCTAATTTGTCTTTCAGTAAAAATGAGATAAAATAACTAAAGAGAAAGCCTAGCTTTAGAAGTTATGATTGATCAAGTTGATGACTTAATAAGCTTTAGATACTAAAGGTATGTTTTAAACGAACGTTCAAGACCAGGTAATTCAATTAACGGGTTTTTCCCCGATACATTTTCTTTGTTTTCAACATTATCAGTCTTAACAGCTTCCTTGTTCGTTGCAATTTCTTCTTCCTGTGCAACGTTTCCTGTATGTCACTGCTACTCCATTGAATTAAGATTGGATGACGTCATTCTTTTCGACAACATGAATGTTTTTTTTTATCTTCGACAGCATCTAAAATAAGTAGCAATAAAGAAAATAATACCATGTTAAAATAGTGTTCCTAGTTATACCTAGTAGCGACAAACAAACTAACCAATCTTCGTCCACGTAGCCTTCTTTTCATTGAGAGCCCCACCCACCAGGTAATGAAGCAGCGCAACCCCGGCTAATTGGTTCGTGTGTACAACAACTTGTTTCGGGAACCGTTTATAAAGCCCACTTCTGCTTCGAAATGTAAATACTTTCCGTCTAGATTTGATTTTTGCTTAATCGTATCAATACGATAAGGAAGAACTGAATGACCGTGTATATCTGCGAATCCTATTACATAAAGAAAATTGTGTCACAGACAAGTGAATAGTGACTTTAGATAAGATACAGCAGATCCAAACAGTGAACGCGCATGCATCATTTAGCCAATGTGGCCCAAGGACTCGTCAGTGATTCCAAGGGCCTAAGTGTTAAACCTATAATGCGACTGAATAAAATCCAAAATGATGGAAAATATGGTAATAAATTTCCTAATTTTCATATGTCTGATAATTTCAGGAAAAACGTCAAGTGCATGAGTATTTTCTTAACCGTGTTTAGCTCATTAAAATTATAGGCTATACACAAGAGAAACACCATTTATTACCAGACAAATCCATTTGGGAAATCATTTACAATTCGAACTCCGCATGACGTTAATATTTCTTTGGAAACATGAACAGCAGCATTCATCTTTCGAAGTGATGCTATTTCGTGTGTCCAAATCCAGCGGAAGTTCTAGCTGCAGCTTTTTTATCAAAAGTTTTAGCTTTGGTAGATTGTCCTTCATTCATTTGATTCAAGTAAGTTGTTTTCTTTAACATCTAAACAATAGCATGACACAGGGTATGACAACGTCTGTTTTCTGTTTTACTACATAATATAAGGTCCTTGTCTCTTGTGAATCCTGATAAAATTCACTGCTAGAAGTAATTATATAACACTTGTCAAATACTTTACCAAGAGAAGACTAGCTAACTATTTTATTTAATCATTTATTTTTTGTTTTGTATTTTATAAAAAGGTATAAATATAATCGAAATGTAAATAAGTGCTCGGTGTGTGAAATTTGCATTCCTCTAATTGTTTGACCGAGACTCGCTTTCTTCTTGGTTATTATGTTGGGTCTAATTTATAATATATTGCAACAAAGGCACTTGCAATCCAAATTTAAATGTAGATATTTTTATTGTTTCTGATAATTTAGTGTGAACGGAACTGATGAGTGTTCTTACAGTTATCAGATACTTTGCACATCCTGTTACTCAGATAAAGCATGACCGTGTGTCTAAAACTGGTGAAAACTTTAAACATGATTCGGATGTATGTCTCATCATAACTTTCACGTTGCATTGTATGTATACTTGAGTTGATCAACTACACATACAGATGATTTTCTCTAAGCTAATATTTTTCTTTTATTGATAGCCCACTTACTCTAAGCCATGGCACAAACGTAAATGTATTGTATTGTTAAGTCTACTGTTGTGTAAGATTCATCAGCAATTTCATTACCACCACAGTATGACCTATACAAAGGGCTGAAATGAGATGATGTCAGACCGCTGAAGTTACGTATTAACCAGAGGTCTATAGTTAATTAAAACATGTTTAGCAAAATGTTCAAGGAAAATGCATATACGGTGAAGCAACCATCATGTTCCTTTCCCATGATGTAAAACAACTGGTGGATTTCACCAATGATCTATTAGATAAATACTAAATAATTTCTTTGCCAGGAATGTACAAGTTGCGTAACATAAAGACAACTCTCAAATTACAGTTTTAATCCCTAACAGAGCTGCGCAATTTCACCAAAATAAATGTGTACAAAAGACACACAAGTGAATATTACCTTTTGGTAATTTAGAGTTACATACATTAGATTTAAACAATAAATCAAACGGAATCATACAGCTGTTTCGTCTTTCTAGGACTCCTCAGTGATGCTACATCATACAGCTGTTTCGTCTTTCTAGGTCTCGTCAGTGATGCTAAGAGCCTAAATTCTGTAGTCTATAAGGCGACTGAGGAAAATCCAATGTGATAGAAAGAAATCAAAATCTAGACGGGGAAGTGCAGCAGCCCCTTATCTAAATAGATTTTTGTATAACAGATAATTTTAGAACAACGTCGAGTGCATGTGTATATTCTGAACCGTGCCACTATTCGAATGAATTAAAACCCGGCATGCTGGTTTCACGGTAAACCTCGGTGAATTAAAAGTCCACCAGCGGTGACCTTATCATGGACGGCGTTTTCTTCTTCTTATTGTTACCTCTCGTACTGTTGCTGTTGTGCCTCTGTCGTTGTTTTGTTGTTAATGCAAGTCCTAGTATGTCACGTACGGATTTGTCTGTGATTTGACATGTATTAGATAACACGCCTTCCACCGTTAGATGGCGTAATCATACCTAGATGTAACTCTACTTTAACAACAGGTAAAATAACATAAAGATGTATGAACATTCCGAAGCTAGTTGGCTTCAATGTATTAGTATACCGTGAAATGAAGGAACGCCGTTTTATATACAATACATTATTTGTGATCATTTTCAAATAACAGAATGATTCAGTCCATAAAACAATTATATTAAACCTACAACAAGTATTTAATCTTGGTACATGTATAATATAATTGTGCGTGGGCTTTATTCAATTCTATCTGGGTTTAAATAATTATACATAGGTTCAATTAAATTATGCTTTCAATGTACAATTGAATTAGATTTATATATCAACACGTCTTTCTTATTTATTTGTAGATAAGCTTTATTTGTTTGTACCTCGCTACAACTCATTATTACATAGGTTTAATGTTATTTCATTTAAATCTGGATATTTAGGATTGTTATTGAATCTTAACTAGTTCTGCTTCATTAATACATAGTATTTTAGGACGTGATCAAATGATTTAGTATATATACTAAATATATATATCAAAACCACGTTCATTAATGGTAACCAAAAGGTATAAAGTAAGCTTTCATCAGATACTAATATTGAACAACTTGTATGAATCCTATCCTTATCATTTTATATATGTATATAATCGCATTTGTTATGACGCCATAGACTACTGTGAAGTAGTAATGTATTTAAGCAATTTACGTAATATAACTACGTATGTATATGTCTGAAGTTTAAGGATACGGTATACTATTGTTTTCGTTCATTGAAAGTAATTAATGGTGAGATCCATAATGTTCGGTTAAATCCTTTTACATATATAATAATAGGTTTATGAGGATATTTCCTACTATTTTGGAGGCTCATTCCTTGATATTTTAATAAAAAAAATGTATTACAGCAATAAACATCCTTACACGAATTATTCTCGCCGCGGTAATGCAATGCCATACAATATCACAAAAGATCGATAAATCAATACCTAAGGATCAACAATTGAAAAAAGAAGGCAAAAGGATTTCCGATTATACCTTTAAAAAATTTTTCCGATTATACCTTAGCATCGTTAGTTTGCAGATATTTATTACACGAATATCATATAAACTTAGTATTACTTCGGTATGGAGGAGCAATGATGAATGTAGTCGGCTTTTTTTTTTTATATGATTTAAGGTTTTCGTTGATCGTTTCTCACGATATGGAATATAATCTGTAACCTAAAGGTACAATTACGGACCTAAAATGAAGATTACAGATATAAAAAAATAGTCCAAATTTTCAACATACTTGTCATTAATGGCAACTTTTCTTGAAACTCTTTATTAAATGCTTGAGACATTACACCTTACTTTCAGAAAAGACCAACCACATCAAACTGAAAGCATCAGTTACCTTACGATCGGGAAAACATTACCTATGTCTATTACCGGTGCTTTCAAAGGGTTTTATTGTCAATGCATTGGCATCTCCGATTAACAGAGTCACTCGAGGTTACTGAAGAAGTGGAATTAATTGTATGTGGAACTCCAAAGAGATTTGACCAATCTTCATTACCCTTCTCTAAAAAATATTTCTATAAGCACATTTGATTTTTCAACTCTGTTTACCCCATACTCCATTTAAAATGAAAGAACGCCCTTGTTCTCGAGTAATGGGAATGTTCGTGAACTTGGAGGTACAAGTTTTTGATTGTGAACTTCACTTTTCCAAATTAAAGAAGTATACAGAGGACGTAATCGTAAAATTGATCGAGTTGGCAACATCTTCGTCGCGTGTGATGGTAAGATTTCCAACAGACTATTAGCACATCTATGGGAACTAACTGTAGGCTGACTTTTTTAAAGAGCTCATCAAAAGTCGTTTAATTTCACTTTCAGATGTATTGTTAACGCATTGTCTTTAAATAACCAGATATTTATTGAACACGTCCATCGTATATACCCACCAGACATGACAGAAACTTCTATATCTGCCTCTTATCATAATCTTTTAATACAACGAAACCAACATGGGCAACTGTCCACCAAGCTGTACAAGCTTGATGATTTCAGGTTCCCTCTTGTGAATGTTACATTTCTGGACAGAAACATTCCTGCATCCCCAAACCATTGTGTATTCTATATTCAAGGATTCATTCCCGATTTTCGTGCGAGAAGTCGTCAACTGATGGACAAACTCATAACACAGGATTTCAAAAGATCAAGTTGATGAAAATTATGAGGAAGTTTTAGGTCGTCATAGTGATCTCATTGAGAAATATCATACATGAATTTCTTTGTGCGATATAAAGCTGGACGTGGCGAGGAATGTATCCAAACAAATACAGCGGTAATTTCATAACACAAGGATTGTTCCACGACAAAACTTCCTAAGACTAACATTTCAAAATGCAATGGATTTCTAGCGATGAGGTCATCAAACTGAATATCTGTTTAGAACATCAACTGAATTGTATACAGTTTGTGTACTAGACAAAAGCTCCTATCCGGTACTCTGACATGCTCGTCTCACATTCGGTTGTTTTCCGCTTTCAGAGATCAATTCTTACGCCCACGTAAATGACAGTCTGATTTATATGTACTGTCCATCCATTGCTTCTTGCCAAGTTTTGTGGGTAGGGTTCACCAATGCAGCTGTTCAAACGAAGAAGTCGCCAGTGATTGCACAATTAACGGCTATAAATTACGTCATTCATTTTTAGTCATTCATCCGTATGGCCGATGATTCAACCAATAGTATAACTCACATATGTGCTTGAAGTATTTCTTCCTTCCTCAGTTTCTAATTCAGGCGAAGAACAAACAGTTAAGAGTTAAGATTAAATAATACGTTAACGACTACATTAATTTCTCAGTAAACATCCACTGATAATTCTAAACCAATGAGTTTCTTAGGTTTAGCGATATAACATTTATTAAGGTCATTGTCGTCTTAGTTGAGACCAATGATTGTACATATGTTGTATAAGCATTACCAAACAAAAATACATTGCCTCAATATTCCAGTTGGTTCAGCTCTTTGAACACAGTATACCAGACGCTCAAAGCATTTTAAATCAAAATTTTGTTCTGGTAATGATTTTTGTAAACGTATTTTAAGAGCTATAAAAATAATATGTTGGTGCATTTCTTTACCATCACGTGTCATAGGAAATATGCATCTTAGCTTATTTATCTTAATTGTTTCGTGAATAATAAGTATTGTAAAGGTATACGAGGTGATCTTTGTTTCCAGCAAATTTCCTTTTTTTCATTAAAATGCAATAGAATAATACTGGGATAATAAAAAAAAATTAACTGAAAATGTTCATTCTAAATTTAATTTTACAGTCGCAAATTTCAAAAGCAACCGGAAAATGATAAAATTAGAAAAACTGTTTAAATCCTCCATTTGGCAATGTTCTGAAATTAATTTTTTTTCAAGACATTTCGTTTTGATATACAAATGATTTGGAATTGTTTCACACAGGGGTTCGCTCTTCTTATTTTTTCACACAAATGTCTTTATTTCAAACGGAAATAACACTTCTTGGGTTCAAAAATTAAACAAAAGTTATACAAATGACCAGTGTAAAGCATAATGGCACCAACTTACGTAGTGTACGAGATGGTAAGGAATCGAACAACGTTTTCGACTGTACTATATTCCTACGTACAATAAGGTTGAAAATAGTGTGACGAGATGGTTAACTGATTATAGAAACATTTTCACAGGATTGTAACGATGTGATGTCTGATGTCTGGTAAAGTTTACAATGTAGTCATGGAAACGTCATGTTCAAATATTTTAGTAGTCGTGTTAAAGGAACATATATTATACATATAAAATTTTGTGGAATTCCGCCCAAATTTAGTTATACTAGACAGAAGCATCCTAGTATACAAAACAATGAAATTAAAATGGTTGACACTAAATCCGTATCACGACGTCAATAATCCAGTTACAAAATAAAGTCCACAGGAAAAAATCTATATCACGTCATATTAAGTGTTGTGCCTCTGGCAGCAATTGGCTGCAAAACATATCAATATGCAAAAGTCTATAGTATTAAGTTATTTTATGGGAATCTCGAATATTGTACAAATACAAAAGACACAAAAGTAAGTTGCAAGTTTTAAACAAAACTGGAATTAGAAACAATTAAACTGCATCATACAGATGTTTATTCCTCATAGGAGTGATACTGCGGGCCTAAAACTTAAAATCCAGGAGACAACTGGAATCACACCTAACCGAAAGTAAAACAAAAAACAAAAACAAAAAACAAAAACAAAAAACAATCTAGTTATTTTTCTCAATACTGTTTATTTTCTCACAAGTAAATGTTTCCTTTTACTGTTGTGATTCATCAGCAATGATATCATGATAGATGTATACATGTACACTCTTAAAGCCAACATGAGAGATTACGTATTTTTCTATGTACAACACATGCGTGGGTATGAAGGTATGAATAGCATAAGCGTACGATAACAAAAAGTTGATTGGCAAAGTCTACCTCCATGACTGTATACAAGGCCAAGTCCATTTCTCTGATTTGAAAGGTTCTTCTGTCCATTTATCATTAAATCAAAATGGATGTTAGACAGTGTAGCAAGATTTGTGATCTTATAATGTAAATATGGATTGCAGCTATCGAGTAATACTTCCTATTTATATGGCATTTTTCTTTTGAAATTCTCACGAATTTCATACATATCACGGTTTTAATTAAACCAATGACAATAAGGCAATGTACCACAAAAAATGTCTCCATATATCAAAGTGAACCAGTATTTTCATCCATTATTAATCTTACTTATGTTCAAGCTATTATGTTTGTCAAATAAATGACTAAGTGGCAAACTAATAGTTTTGATCTAAGATATATGGTCTATAATTAGATGCATTGGCTATTCATCCTGATGTTGCAATATTTTCGTATGAGACGGAGGACTGCCCACATTCTTCGTATAAGTGGTTGTCTCGACTTTCATGCCTGATGCCTTCATAACGTACAGCAGCAGCATCAGGGGCACCAACCGCCTGTGTGGTATTGGAAGTGTGACAGTCAATTCTGATTTTCCTGTATCGGAATGTAATCACGAAAATTGCTAAAGCTAATAACATGACTCCTATACCACACACTACCCCGATTAACAGTGATTTAACATTGATTCCTCCCGAATCACAAACACTCGACTGATCTGCTTCTTTGTTTGAAGGTGCTGAATTGGCATTTCTAGTAGCTTGTCTTTCTGTCTGGTCACATAATAAAGGTAGCTGGGTATGACATTCTGTCACAAAGGTATGTAGTCTTCCGTCTTTCCTGATGGATGCTGACAAGCAATCAAATTTTGTTCTCGATGTTATGTTGTTTGTCCAATTGTCTATCTGTTTACGAAATAACCCTACCCAATAATAAACATTACTACTTATCCTTTTTTTTGCTCTGGAAAGTCCGCTATAAAAACGGCCTTTGCGTCGTTGACAAAATAAAGCTGCTTCAGTCCAGTTCACGTTTTCATTTACAAACCAGTCCAATCCTTCGCAGATATATTTATAATCTTCGTGACATAATGTTGTCAATAATTGTTCCCTTCTTCCCGAGGAAGAAAAGATTGTTTTGCAGTTTCCAATTCCGTTATCACTGTGTAAATCAACTACTTCATACCAACAAAGACAACTTTGTGTCAGAATTCTATCATCATAACCGCAAATGTCTTCGGTGTTCAAAGGGCATGGTATGGCATCACAGTATTCATTTTGTATGTTCGGTTCTGACGTGTTAAAGCAAGCACAACGGTTATTTGATAATCCGAAGCGAGTTTCACCACATAACTTGTAACATTCTAAGATACTTAGACTTCCTAACGTCGAGGTCATATGCTGGGTATATGTATGGAAGCAACCACTAAATCGTATCCATTTTGTGTATTGGACATATGCACCAATCCAATACTTTCTTAATCGTTCATTTTCAGTAATCCCTCGTACTCGGATATCTTCCATTTTTTCTGTAATGAATTCACGTCCAAGTAAATGACAGTTCGAGTCCACCATTCCTTCTTGCCAGGTTCTCGGTATAAGAGACACATTGACTGTGGTCCAAACTAAGGCATCGGTAAGTGCAACATTAATCACATAAATTAAACACAAACCTACGACTGAACTCACCATGGTTGTTTAAACAAATATAGCATGAACGTAAGAATATATATATATCTGCTGTGTCTGTTATGTTATTAGATATAAGTTGCTCACTCATCCGGATGTTAAAGTCAAGGGGCCGATGTATGACGTCATACTTCCGTTTCAACATCCATACAAAGATGAAATGCTAAGATGTTAAGATTAGATAATGAAGAAGTGATCATATTTATTTTCAAATAAATATAAACTGTCGAGAGGATTCTGTAATACATGTTTGTAATATAACTTAAAGTTATACCATATGATTTTTCTTGGTAGGAAATGACTTCATTAAAATCGTTATAAATCGTTATTTACATAATCAGATAAAGTTATTGTCTGTCATGATCGTTTCACTGTCACATATTAATAATCAAGTAATATATATCTATATACCCCGAAATTCTTGTATTGAACTTTGTGTTTCCGACTTTTTCAAATATTAATCCATCAATATCAGCTACGATATTTGAAAAAAAATGAGCCGCTCACAGCAAGAGTAAGTTATTTTATTTTTCACAGAGATCCCGTTCAACTCCGCTCATTTGTTCCATCTAGTTTGCAAGTCATCAAAACCCAGTCAATAAAACTCAACGTCTTTTGCTCCACTCCACAGCAGCACTTGGCTCATCACCATCTTAGAATCTTCCCGAAAATGTTTTTTTCAGATTAATAATAATAATAATAATAAAACAAACAAACGACACCCCCCCTCCCAAAAAAAAAAAAAAACAAAAATAATGATAATAATGAAAAGAAACCCCTGAAAGTCACTCAAGGCTAGGATAGGGTGATTAATGCAATTGCCAAATTCGCTCGCAGCTTCCATCATTAACTCAGATGGCTTGGAGTGCCTCGTGTTGTTATCCATTTCTATTTATGTTTGTGTTCTCTACGGATCATATTGGAACACGCAGGTTTCATCGCACGTTACAACCCTAAAATGATAATCATACAGGTTGTCGATGTTTCAACTTCGCAAGGCTACAATGATGACGACGCTTTATTGCTTTATGTCATCCGAAACCATTCTTATAACCCCACTTTCTCATACCTTGGACATATCTAGTTGTTATGAAGTAGGCGGTGTATAAATCCATATCACAGAAACTTTCCTCTACTAACTACATCCTCAATTTGTGAACAGTATCTCTGGTTTCTGGGCTAACATTTGGTGATGGTAGTCCCGAACAGGGTTCGTCTTCTAATCTCTACATCGCTGGAATTTCTTCACTCAGTGTTGATACTTATAGAACAAGGGGAAGACCCTTATAAATATTAATTCCCGCGATCCAACCTTTTCGGCATTAGCCAGTAAAAACTAGAAACTTTGATATTGTCCATTTTTACATTTTTTGTCAGTCAAATAAAGTTTTCCGAGTACAAAATTGCTGTTAACAATGTTATTAATGAAACTAGCAGCCAAGACAATGTATACTAGGTGTGGCACATTTTACCAGCCTACAGAATATAGGAAAAAATGTAGAAAATCTTGGATGATTTAAGGAAAAATGGTACTTTGTTCAAGGAGCATACCCTGTCACGTCGTATGTATGTATATGTTGTTGTCTACGTTCGGTATTTTCGTTATCCCTGTCGAGCGACCGTACTTGTGCGTGTGACCAGGTGAGTGGGAGTTCATGGAGGTCGCGTGAATTCCGCAGGGGTTGTTTACGGGTTATTTACCCGATGTAACCACTACAAGGAAAATATACAGGCACAGATTGCAGACTGTGGTAAGTCTATCTTAATATCTCTTTCTTCGCATTGTTGCTTTCTTAGCCTTTTTCTTAATAAATATCTTTGATAAACACTCGTTGTTTGTGCGGCTCAGTCATGCGTAGCATTGTTGTTTTTATGTATAAGGCTACACTAGGGTGTCCTTTCTTAGATTGTATCTTAGTATTTGCTAGGAATGTTATTATTGTAGCTGTTTCTATAACTTCTTCCAGTTATTATAAGTTATATGTATTTTATAAGCGTATAGAATATTCAGGTGAGAACGTATGCGTGTTTGAAAAAAGTATGGAAGCCGTGAGTTGCCGTATAATGTCTCATACATTGTTTGCTAGATGGTCGTTATGTTATTCTGAGCCTGCATTAGTCGTTCATTATGTTATTACCTTTATAACTCTTCGAAATGTATCATGTACTGTGTAATTTATGAGTATTTCTGGGGATAATTTCATTTATAATAGTAGTTGATTGTGTCATAATAATGTGCAAGTGTTGTATGCGAGTCAATCTTCGTTACTATTCTTTTAAGCTTTTCCCACCGGTCACAACGACACCAGCTACCTCATCAAGGCCACGACGGTTTTATCAGTGAGAGTCGGCACCAGGGCCTTAGCAGACAGTTAGGTCAGCCAATCACGGGAACTACAGGTTTGGCATTGGGGTACACGTTCCGAGGAGCATAGCGGTACAGATATGGCATCTATAACTGTGAGCTCTACTCTGCTTGAGATTTTGTGTGGCACGCACAGCGCCAGAGTACTACTGCGGTAGTAGATCGTCAGTTGTCTGGATAGGAATCCTCTGTCTCCATTGAATCCAGTATTTGGGGGTTTTCTTGAACTTTTCATTCCTGGTGTGAAGGACCGTTGAGGGGTGATCAACAGAGACTTTGTGTAATACTGAAGTGTAATCTTTTGTGTGAATCTGAGGGAATGTGTGAGTGTGCTTTGTTTACGTTCATGTTGTAAATAAATTGTAATCTTTATAATGGTATTGTGTTTCATTTTCCTGATAGCTTCTCGCCGCTCGTCCTACGTTACATACCCTTTATATTTTCAAAGTGGGATTGTATTAATTTATCTTTTGCTTTATGCAATGTCTGGCGTTTACGATATCGGAATTACAATTTTACATGTATCTGATACATTATACAAAACGTTATAATATTAACTTTTATCTGATTTATGTATATCTTATCTACAGTAAGATAAATTCGGTTTTTCAAAACGTGACATTTAGGATATCTCAAGTTTTGAGGTCGTGCCCTTTCGTAAAGATTGATATGAATTTGATTTGGAATCTGTCACCCTAAACAGTGCTTCATTTCCACAGGTTTCTGCGCCTTGACATTTCTAAAATGTGAAAGTGCCGGAAACACTCTTACGTTCATCTGTCCTTGATTTTCTGTAGTTCAATAGTTGAATTTTCAAATCACTATCAAAAATATTTTTCTCTTCGACGATCACTTGAGTCTTTTCCATGGATATTTGTAATATATTAATGGCATTCTGTTGGTCTTAATCAATTTATTTCCTTCCCTAGTTTATACACTGTAAATCAAAACGATAAGGAATATCTCGACATGAAACGTTTATTATAATTCCATGACACTTAATACATAAGGCAAGCTTAAGTTAGGTAATAAAATATACAGGTAACACGTTATAATAGTAATCATAGTATCTACGTGTATCAAGTCCAACAAAGATAATATGAACCATTTTGATCATTACAGATGAATAACAAATGTCTTTCATAAATTAGAGAAACGGTACGTATGTTATACAGTAATACTGAGTAAGGATCAACATGTGAATATTATACAAGTCATAAAAATGCTGTGAATGTGTTGTATGCTGTCGAACAGTAAGCCAATTTTTCAGTATTACAAGTTACAATCAGCACAAAGTTAGTCACAAATATGGTCGTATTCTCTTGTTATTTACAGGGGCAGGTTTACTCATCATTTCGTTTCTCATTAAGTTACATATGTATTTGTGATTCATATCAGCAGGCAGGTAACATATCTTCTTTTATGACAATATATATACCACATACAGTAGTCATTAAAACTTTATGAATGACATACCAGCTAGATTATGCCCTTAAGTTACATTTATGGTCATCAACCTTAGATATAAAAGGTATCTAGTTGGACAGATACCCTTCTAAATCCATATATGATTCTTTAACACTTGCCGTACTGTTAAAACTATTTAAGAGGAACAGTTTATTTTCTTTTCCGGTACTGTTCTTAGTGACTAGATCAAGTGTGTGACTTCCGCGTAAAAAGCATATTTAGACAAAAATTATCAATACAGGAAAAAAAGTCCTTTAAAAACAGGAATCCCATCTCAACACCATGCCATACTCTACAGGGCTAATTAAGCAATCGGAAAAGCGACAAAACTGGATTCATTCCAGCACTAAACAGATTATGTTAAAGCATTTATCATTTGATGCAGAAAGCAGTTAATACATGTATCAATTCACAACTGCAGGCTTAAAAACTCAGCAAGTATCTTGTAAAGACCTACGTATAAAGCCTTTGGAATGCAGCTACCACAAAATGTTTCAAACCATTGGTACCAAACTTATTCCTTGGTCTGTACATGATGAATAACATGTTGCCGTTATCAGATGACATTGAAGAAGTTGATACATATTGTTTTACCGAAGAATATAAGCAAAGGAATAAAATATCGTTTTCCTTCAGTGGTAATTCTGCTTGATGACAATGAAGACATTACTGAAACGATCCTGTGATATCCTGCGATTCCTAATGCTGGCGTTCGGTCATCATTAAATTGCGAGTGATAAAAGATTTTCTTCTTTGTTAACAACACTAACTGATGCAAATATTAAGCTTTTATAACAAATTCATTTTGAATGTGATACAGAACTACGTGTATAATTTATGTCACCATGTTTCGACAATACAAGAACTAGTAAAAATTTAACAATGTAAACAAAATGTTATGCTCATTGTTGCAGAAACTTGGGTCGATGGTACCTTAATAAGGCAGAATGATTTATATTTATATAATAATAATTCATTTATACCTATGGTAATTATGTTTTCCTATCTGTAACGACTCATACTTCATATGCAATATTAAACACATGGAGCTTAGTGCGAAACGTAAAACAGCGAGGAGAAATATAGGTGTAAATGAAGTTAGGTTGTCTGTCTTTGCATGCAACGTTGAAAGGAATTAATCAGAATTTTCCAGAAGGATCCGGTTGATGTATAGTTAATCGCTACAAAAAGAACTTTCAATGTGATGTTATTTGTAAACTTTGCATGTTTCTGATCACGGTTAAAACTTTGCATTTTATGCTTTTAAGACGTATCGAGATGAGCTTGCGTAGATTTTACGCAAATTTTTATCCATAATATCCAATGAAATGAAAGGTAACGTGTACAAATACACAGGATAGTATGTCGCCTTACATCGTCTAGCTGCATTGTAGAATTTCTATGAAAAACATAATCACAAGTTCGTCATACACTAATTGTAATCCTAAACTGAATCACTCTTAACATATACTACATTGTATTTACACAAATACGATGATAATAATAATGATAATTCGCTGCTTCTTTGTGTTTGGATGATTTGATTAATTGAATATTTCTATACTAAAGGTACATTTCAAACGAAATCTAAAATCTTGCCAACAGATCATTTAAGACCGGGCCCCAGTTTCACGTGTCTTCCTTAACTTAGGGAAAACATTAGTTAAGGTAAGGAAAAACTTATTTTTCCTTAAGTTATGTAATGCTTTCCTTTGGGCTATTTAAAATCTAAGCAAAATTACTTAGGAACGAACGATTCATAAAAGTGTGGTCATATTAACAGTTTGTTTCCGACACATTTTCTTTGTTTTCAACATTATCAGTATTTAGAACTTGCAAGGCATCCTTTTTCATTTTAATTTCTTCTTCCTGTGCCACGTTTTTCGTTTCAGAAGCTGTTACATGATTGCCATTGACAGCTGGTTCTGCTACATCATCGGCTTTGGATTCAACGACGTCATTCTTTTCAGCAACATGAACCTCTTTTTCATTGGTAACAGAGTCTGTCACATTGCCCTTTAAAGCTGGAATAGCTTCCGTGGACGAACTTTCATCTGATGCCGAAGTTGAAGTGTTAGCTGACTTTTTGTCCACTTTCTCTTGCTTATCAGGAGAAGGCAATGGTGTAGTTGCTTTTCGCAGTTTGTATCCTTTCCTGATATCATTTAGTAATTTGTCGATAATGCAACCATCATCGCTATCGGGAACGTTCTTCTTGGCTACAAACAGAACATGAATTTCAATACCTTGTCATGTCATCATTGTACAAATGCTTTATGAACAAAGCTACAACAACAATAATGATATCAATTTAATTTCGAAATATATATACAAATTCTGTCGTGTCTTTACCGGTGTCTACCTACAGTGCTTAGGGTTTGATTTCATTTCTGCTTGTTGTTTTCGTCGCCTCTCTGCCTTTTCCTCTTGGATGCGTCTTTGTTCATTTTCCTAAACATAACACGTAACAATAATCTGTAGAAAACGATACAACCATAACGGCAGAAGAACAGAAGTATTATATAAAAATATTATAAGACTCTTTCATATGCGTGTATGTAGGATAGGGATATTCCACCCGAGGGGTTACAAAATATGGTAAAACCCTCGGCTCCTCTGAGGGTTTAACCATATTTTGTAACCTCTCGGGTGGAATATCCCTATCCTACATACACACATAATGAAAGAGTCTTTTTCTCTCATATCTTTACCAAAATTTTGGGAAAAGCACAGTCGGTCGGCCATTATCTTCATTTTTTTCATTTTTTTTAATCCGAGGTTTTTATAGAAGACGAACTGGATATTCATAACGATCATACCCATATTTAGCACACTTTCAGTTTGCTGTCAAATTTCAAACCATTTTTCGGTATATTGCAGGATGAATGTATTATTCGCAGATGAAAAAAAACCAAAAATGATCTCTGTGTGATTATATAGTATGCGTAGGTAAAAATCCGCGAAAAGAAATTGTTCCGTCAAATACTTCAAAGAAATCAACAAGGAACGGATTTTTATAATTCAACATATAGTTTTATCATCAAAATCACATATTTGATCATTTTAAGAAATACATCAATGTATCGTTTTACTGTTTTAACATTTTTTTCCCAAAATAATGTGACGTTGACATGACGTCACCATAGTCAAAGGAATTCCATTCATAAATTCAAGGCGTGACGTCACACGATCTCCTATTCCGAGTCGCTGTCGCTCTCGATCACCATGATTCGACTACGTTGGGTGGTGGAACATTTGTGGTGATATTTACATTTTCCTGGTCCTCTATAAATGTCTGAACCTCTAACTTTTTAAATCTCAATTAAATGTTGTTTGTTGACATGACGATGACAGATGACAGCTGACAGATCGACGTAAACAAGCAGACGACGCTGTGAGAGTTGTCTCCCCTGGACACAGATTACTACGCGCACGTGTTTGCCAATGTAAGATAGAATTTTCTTACATAGCTATCTTACATGGGCAAACTCTATCCAATATGGCGGGATATGAGAGAAAAATAATTCTTATTTGCATCAAGGTTTTTCCTATCATATTTCAAATAAACCAATGATTTTAATGAAAATGTTGATCTACAATGCAACAATGTCTACGTTTATGAGACGTCATTTATAGTGCTGAATCAATACAATAGTGCATGTTCTACAAATCAGTAAATCATCTGACAGTTTATCCTAATACATACCTTCTCACATTGCTGCACTTTCTCACAAAATGTTGTCATAGTAGCAACACATTCCTCTATTTTGAAACTTTGTTCATTTTCACAGAAATGTTCTGCTAATTTCTTTCCGAGGGTTGTGATCTTCTCAAGGCCAGCATTCAGTTCTTTAATCTCCGATTTGGCATCCTTTTCATATAATTGGTACATACATACAAATACTTCATTTTGAACCAGTAATAAGCTAAAAATATTTCCTTACATGGAAGCACATAATTAAGAAAGATCACATGATGACATGAAAAAATAATAATAAATATCTAAATATTATTGTTATTATTATTACATTCTTAATGGCCCGTAAACACTAAGAGGTCATTAGGGCCATCAACCGGTGAAACACAATCTTCATTAATCCAAGATTTTTGTTGTGATTTCATTTGGACTTTTGGTATACATTCTTCGGCTATCTCAAGAAGTTCGGTAGTAAAGGATTCTACGGGTCTTCTGAATTCAGGAAATCACTGCTGTTGAGAATTTTGGAACTGAAATGTTCAAATTTACTCCTACCTGCTTTATATAATTTCTAATGGGGTACATGATCGTTCTCTGAGAATTCGCAATTCCTTAGAGATATTGGAAAGTGGTCGCTTCCACAGAGATCGCCATGCACCGTCCATTGAAATCGAGTAACAACGATTGGTGACAAAGTTAAATCAAGGAACGATAATGTTCCGGGAGAGTAATGCCAGTAAGTTGGAGATTTATAATTGTGAAAACAAAGTTTATTTTCCAATTCAATTTTTTCAATTTCAGTTCTTCTCTCATAAGTGTAGGATGAACCCCAAATGTTTTTATGACCATTAAAGTCACCCATAAGTATGAATCGGGGAGGCAGTTGCGATAGGAGTTCGTTTAGGTGGTTGTTCGTATAATCAAGAGTGTTGAGGGAGATAGAGCATACTGTAAGCGTTCTAAGGAGCGTAACACTAACATCAATTGCCTGGAGGTCTGTATTTAACGGTAAATTTCTGTAAGCAACTTGGTTGTTAACCAGAAGAGCAACTCCAGCGGTTGCTTTGCTGCTAACAGGACCGAAGCAATCAAACAATGGATATTTTCTGAAATTGATATTTGTTTCAGCTATGGTGACCGTTTCTTGGAGACAAATTACACTAGGTTTATGTTCTTGAGACAGTCGAAGAATTTCATAAATATTGGATCGACGATCTCTGTAATTCAAATTGATTATTGTATCCATTATTACTAACATAGAGATAGATATAATAGGGATAAGTTGGGACCATTGATAATAAGCTACTTGTTTGACAGCTTTAGTAGAGATCTGCGATTTGGAAGTAGCAAAAGAAAGTGACAAATCAGATTATCAGGTTACCAAAATGAAAAATGAAATTATGTTTACAAACCACACATATTCAAGTTCAATTGATCACTTAAAAATCACTTACGCCAACAAATGTTTGAAGTTGGTTCCTGACGTCATCCGGACAGGTTTTCAGCAGGTTTGCAAAGTTATTAATATTTTTCGAGGTTTGTTTTAACTCAGCTGCCATGGCTTCTGTTGTGTACCTGTAACATATGACATTATTTTGTATCAACTACAACAGAAAATACGATTTTTTTTGTGGATTGAAAACTTGAATAAGTTTAAACACATGTATATCTATTCAAAAGAAAATTATCTACTTTTACATACATTGTCAATATTAAATAATACTTGTAATATAGCCCTAGCTCTTATCATTGTCACTGAAAAGGAATTAGTGTTAATCACTTCCTTAAATAAAACTGCTCAGGTGTAACTACAAATGATAGTTACTTGAACTAATACCTTAACTATATTTTGTTACTTTTCAGAAAGCTTCAGTTTAGATCATTTTTCTATAAAGAGAATACCTAAACACTGTAACCCTTTCTTATGGCAATATTTAAGGAGTTTCCTTTAGTTACGTCACGTAACAAGATAAAATAAAATAACATCAAGTGTGAATCGACAGTTAACATTGTTCTTAAACCTACCTAGAAGCGGCAGACAAATCCGGCCACATTTCGTCCACGAAGTTGAGATAGTCCTTCTTTTCCTTGAGAGCCTCTCCCACCAGGTAATGCAATAGTGTAACTCGGGGCTTATTAGCTCGGGTGTCCATCAACTTGGTCAGAGAACTGATTTTAAAGCCAACTGCATTACCGGCATAGCCTCCCTTTAGACAAATGATATATATTTCATACTTCTGCTTCAAAATATAAGTACCGCTCGTGTAGATTGGATTTGCCTTATCGTATCAATACAGAGGGATGTCTGAGTTGACCGTATCGTTTTACGAATCTGAATAAGTCCAAATGTGTTTAGGTGTAGAGTTGAGCAGTGTTATCGCCATATTAAATTTCATTTAGGTGATGTATATGACCATTAACTGTTGGATTATTCCACTCGCAGATTTTGAAATTCAAGAGGTGTTTTTTTCTTGTAATATAATTGTTTAATAGTCTTTTCTTCATATTTCTGTTTTCTTAAATATGTATATTATCAAAATGAATTTGCAAATTATTTCGTAACAATCATCAAGAATTTTTTAAAAAAATGTAAGTATAGCATATTTGACAGAACTCACTGCATTGAGGAAGTTGCCAGTGTGAAGGATAAACCTTAAGAAGACTTTGAAAGACTCGTTGTCAAGGACGTGCTCGCAAGCTCGGATGTAAGTCTCGATGTTTGGTCGAAGCATGTCAGTGGCGAGCTTAAAGTCGTCCTTCAATACCATGCCATCGATACGCTGGCGGAAGGCGGGAAGCCCAGCGAGAGTCAGGTAAAACTTCTCTGCGTTGCCAAGTTTACTTTTATCACCGTCAAAAGCTTTGATACTGGTTATCTGTCCATTTAAAGATGAGGTAGATGTAGTCACACAAAAAACGATGAACAATCGTATTTTTCATCCTTTAAAATTATTAGCATATGTATCAATACTTACATATGATACATATAGTTATAACAGTCACATTTATTTTATACATTCATCATTTTCAATTATTTAAGTTTTAAAGAAGTAATGCCTTACCGAAGTTGCACGTTTTTAATGTTACTGACTTACCTCATCGGCCGCTGGAAGAATTTTTTGCAGTCCTCTAAGCCTTTCTTGCCCCATTGTTTCCACGTCTGCTTCAGCTAACATATCTATGATCTCTTTGTGACTACACTTAAACTGCTTCAGGAAGATATTCACATTCATACTCCTCTTCATATCCAAAATGAGCACCTACAATGTTCAAACGAAAACATCATTACTATTTCTAAGAATGTATATAAGTATAAATAACATGTAATTTAAAAAGTGAACGGAACAAATAGGTAAAAGTACAAAGCAGGGTATGTAACTCGTACATACCTCTTTAGGGATGTTGACTTTTTTCTGTTCGACAACTTTAACTGTCTTTGACTTCTGACAGAAAAGCTGTTCTATCTTATCGTACTGTACTTTAATGGCATCTTCCATATCCAGAACGTCCTTCCATACGCTGTCATGACCTACAAAAACCCAACAATCATTGACATGACATACAAAAATCCAATAATCACTGTTATGACATACAACAATCCAACAATCATTTTCATGAACTACAAAAACCCAAAATTCAGTCAAGACCTACAATAATCTAACAATCATAGTCATGACTTACAACAATCCAACAATCATAGTCATGACTTAAAACAATCCAACAATCACAGTCATGACCTACAATAATCTAACAATCATAGTCATGACTTACAACAATCCAACAATCATAGTCATGACTTAAAACAATCCAACAATCACAGTCATGACCTACAACAATCATCGAGATGACATAGAACTCAACAGTCATGGTGATGACCTACAACAATCCAACAATCATAGTCATGACTTAAAACAATCCAACAATCATAGTCATGACCTAAAACAATCCAACAATCATAGTCATGACCTACAACAATCCAACAATCACAGTCATGACTTAAAACAATCCAACAATCATAGTCATGACTTAAAACAATCCAACAATCATAGTCATGACCTACAACAATCCAACAATCACAGTCATGACTTAAAACAATCCAACAATCATAGTCATGACTTAAAACAATCCAACAATCATAGTCATGACCTAAAACAATCCAACAATCACAGTCATGACCTACAACAATCCAACAATCATAGTCATGACCTACAACAATCCAACAATCATAGTCATGACCTACAACAATCCAACAATCATAGTCATGACCTACAACAATCCAACAATCACAGTCATGACCTACAATAATGCAATAGACCATGTCATTACCTACATAAACCAAACAATGGCTTTGGTGGCCTACAACAACCAAACAATCGCTTTAGTGGCCTATAACAACCAAACAATCGCTTTAGTGGCCTACAACAACCAAACAATCGCTTTGGTTTCCAAGAATCACAACTTCATACCATGGTGATTAAGCAGATCAAGTTTAAAAGAGGTCGGTTTAGAATTGTGGAAGGAGATATCCGAACAAGTAAAAGTTTTCGACGAACGGACGGACAACGCCATACCATTAGACGTCGATAAAAAATTAGACAGGCGTTTAAAACGCAAACTGACGACATAGGACGAATGGTTGAATACAAATAACGGACGACAAAAGAAAAAAAAAATGTCCGAAAGGAAAGAGTATAAGGGAATTATAAAGAGAAAATACCAGAAAAGAAATAGTGGATTGAAAAAGAGTACATAGTGTACCAAAAGGTCTGTGCATCAGAAAAAATACAGGTATGCACGATCATAGTGCAGCCTGACGTCACATACTTACCACTAACAGTCTGGGGTGGTACTTTGGTCCAGTTGAAAACCTTCATCTTGTGTTTTGGTTTAGGTGTCCAAAGAGCTTTTGCAGGTTGTTGGTAAGCATAGAAAGTCAAATTAGCAGGCACAGGTCGAATCTTTCCCATTCCAGGTGGTGGAGGCGGTGGCGGCACGCCACCCATTCCTGGCATTGGTGGAGGTGGGGGTGGAGCGGCTCCACCCATTCCTGGCATTGGAGGGGGTGGAGGTGGGGGTGGAGCGGCTCCACCCATTCCTGGCATTGGTGGAGGTGGAGGTGGAGGTGGGGGTGGAGCGGCTCCACCCATTCCTGACAATAGCGGTGGCGCTGGCGGAGGTGGAACGTATCCTCCAATGCCTGGCAATGGTGGTGGTGGTGGTGGTGGTGGTGGTGGAGTTGGAGCGGCTCCACTCATCCCTGGCAGTGGTGGAGGCGGAGGTGGGGGTGGAGCTGCACCCAATATACCTGGCATAGGAGATAAGGGAGGTGCGCAGCCACCTGGAAGCGGAGGAGGTGGGGGCGGAGGAGGGGGTCCTGTAATATCCTGGTGAGATGGCGACAGGGAATTTTTGGAAATTAAGGCATCTGGATTATCATTCATCATTATTCTCTTGATATGTTGTTTTTGTTGATATGTTAATTTGGATGGAGTATTACTTCCACACAACACACATTGGTGTGGAACGTTCTGTGTACTTGGCAGAGGAGCTTGAACGCTTGTCAGAGGCGTTCTGGACAATGGGGAAACTGTACTGGTCAGTACAGATTCCTCAATAACAAGTTTTTTATTTTCTGCGTCTATAGATTGCATAGATTCGCCAGTAGACGGAGATATTGCACTTTTGTCCATTTCAACTTCTGGTATCACCTGACATTTAACCTGATCGGTCTGTATCCCAGTCGACATTGTAGGGACTTTCATTATAGAAGGAAACATTGACCCCACGAGGACTGAAAATGAACGTCTGCCATCGGAGACGGTGTCCACTAGAATAGCTTTTCTAACCGTGGACTCCACGAAGTTCCATTGTAGGTCGCTAGAAAGGAGCAAAAGCAAAAAGTTAAAGGTCTAAATACCAGCCATGTTTGTCATTTGAAATTGTCGAATGTTTTCAAGTCACATCACTCTTTTTGCTGTTAATTTATTTGAATATTTGTAGCAAAAATGTCATTAAATCTAATAATCCCCTTAACGAGACCGTTAAAAACTGGAGTAGTTTTAAGTAATAATCTTGTCAGTGAATTATCATGCAATAACTTTGAGACATAAATGAGCTTGTTTTTTAACCTGGGGATGATGATTTGCATATCGTTTATAATTTTACCTATTTATATATAGAACGCAAATATGTTATATTCAAGGCGTCTTTAATATCTTAGTTTAAGCAAATTATCATTTTCCTAATGAAATGTTTCTGATTGTATGGTTAATAGGTGACGTTTCACTGATATGTTTCTTAAAATATTCAGGTTTTTTTATTATATGGCTTTGTTTTGACAGATGGGGAATTTCCCTTGCCATGTGATACTCAGAGTAACTAGAATTCTCTGAAAACAGTAAATGATTAATTTGATTAAAACATCCTAAAATGGTAACAATATGAGTTATATGGATTTATAATCTCATAGCTGCCGAGCTCTTTACGACAAAGTACCTAAATAATTTGTGATGTCAAGAAATATCTACCTGATCGGGCTTTTGGGATCGATCTGTAGGAGCGCCTGCAACACGTTCATGAACACATCCGACTGCGGAGTGTTGTACACCTGTTAATATGATGTAAATCGACGTTTAATAGACATCCATTTGATACGATTTGACGTAAATGTCATATCTTCGCATACCAACGGCTAATGTATGTACTGATCATATATAATTAATTCTGTGTTGCTTTATTGAAACTTATTCCATTCAAATATATTTGTACTGAGGATGGGGAGAGGGTAAGAAATTATTTGATAGACAATATAAGGAGATCATTTGACCGTCACTATGATTTCTATCTGATGAATGAGGTCATAATGACCATTGGAAAAATTATCTTCACAGCCTGAGAAATGCCATTTCATTTTAAAGATTTATAAATATGAAGAAAATAAAGATCTCGCAATTATAATTCCTTCAGAAAAAACTAATTACCAGACTCCACACAATGAAAATTTATCTAACTTATGAAAACCATCATAACAATACCGGAGGCTTCGAAAAATTCATATAACAAAAAATATGTATGTATCCTAATCGATTTAACTCTCTCTTTCGTTGTAACAAGCAGATAATACAGAACTTTACAGCTTAAATGGGGCAAGCATTCATGATAAGGTTGAATCATGACCTGAGATACGGTAACTTTTCATCTTCTAGTGGCACGGTTCAACATACTTGATGTGCTTTTGAAATTATTATTCAACACTGAAAACTATGACATTCAATGAGCATTTGGGTTGATGCTCCTCCCGTTCTGTTTTTTCACATTTCTGTCCCTCTGTTATTCTTCCAACTCCTACATCTATACTTCAACAACTTAGGCTCTTAAACCATCATTGACGAGTCCTATAATAACGAAACACCTGGATGATGCAGTTTAAATCATTATTAGGCTATACTTATCCAATTATAAATTTGTATTGAACGCTGCTCTTATGCGACTAGATGCTGCCAAGATTTTCCCTATCTATCCTATTGAAATTCTCAACCACGCGTTGGCGTACCTTCTGGAAAACAGCATTGAACACGTCCCTATGGTCATTTAGATTGACAATTTCGGGGTTGAGTTCGGCGTATTCATCATCATCGGACTGTTTTTCCTCGTCGAACACATCGCACTGGATCACCAAGTCGTCGTCGTCCTCGTTACGTAAGTTGTTGATGATATCTAGCAAGTTCAAACCTGTGAAGATGTTGAAAAAGTCCGAAAAATGAGATCAAGGACATCGGAATACATGTTTTATATATTCGGTTATCACGTGTTTATAATATACGCATATCTGTTTGTGTAAAAAAACTAAAGGTAAAGGTCAACAATACATTTCATTATTTGATGTCCATAAACTATTTCAAAGCCAACAAACCTGAAAATGCAATTTCAACAATAAACACATTTTAATTATCATTAAGTACCAACCCAGTAATTGTCATGTAATCTTATAACTATCGTACATAAGTTTATCCTTACCATAAGCAACAGAAGATCTTTGGACTATCACAGTGTGTATGGTTTACGGGATTCGACGAAGAAAGGTTAGAGTGTGTTTTAAGAATAAATGTGAGAAATATCCTACTTTCATAATAAAACTCATCATTTACCTATAAATTCGTTGCGTACGCAGATGCGATCGTCCAACGTTTCCGTAGCAACAAGAATACAATTGATGAATCCCAATATGGTGGTTTTGTATGGGACCAGTTCTGCCATGCGGAGTTCATTGACTATGAGACTAAAACGGTACCGCTGTTTCTTCAACGACTACAACAGATAAAGAAAGATGGAGGATTTTTCAACAACACCGGCTAATGTTTACTGTATCATTTTTGCTCCAGAACCTATCTAGAGGGCGAAATTACCAATTAATGTCAATAAAGGTGCTCGGGTGGAGGATGAAGACTGATGCAGTATTATCATGAATATTAAAATGACATAAGGTTGTGTTACTGATAGCCTTATTAGTGGTACCTGTAGCAGAACAAATATTACTCAGGGGACCCCGAGCGCTATGCTACACAATAAAACAAGGCAATAGTGAGTGTCTCCAACAGTAAGTGTGGCCGACTTTTTTTATGAAAGGTGTCTAGAAACCTCGGTCCAAATCTTCATGTATTGGGGAATCAGATCGATATATTTGTTCGAGCGATAATCGATCCACAGGGACGACATCAACCATTGTCCACATGTGGTGGACACTACTACACACTCACCATAAATAACCCAGCCATTATATTACATTTGAACTACAAAATGGATTTAATCCAGGCACCCTTCGTATATATCTCCAGAATCGCTTATGGTAATTTTATAAGCTGTATGCCATCGAATCTCGGGAGAGTCTTCCCTTCATGATAAAAAATAATTAAGACCAAGTCTAAATGTCGCTGTGATGAATTTATGAAGTGTTTGTTCAGTCAAAGCGTGACAATACATTGCCATCAAGCTTTTTTTGAGGCGATGACGCCTCCGCGAAATTTGTATGACAATCATTAATGATCTCTCAGCTTTCCATAAAAACGGTTCAAAGTACAAAGTACCTTTGTTATTAATCAAATATCCTTTTCACTTTCCTTATCATCACGCTATCGAAGCCACAATTTACTATTTCATTTGTATTAAAAAAAGAAACTTATATTTAAGACCCGATTTAATGATTCAAAATTCAAACAACCGCTTTTATTTGAAGTTCCTACCAGATTTTGGGCTGTCGTAAGTTTGACCAATTTTGCTTTACCTTGTAGGACTCCAGCGCGTCCAAAGCCAACACGTAACCATCGGTCGAGTACACACATAAGGCGGACAGTAACTCAAACACTTGTTTCTTCACCATAACGTTGTTTGTATCCAATGCTGGAAAGAGGTAAACCATAATCTGTTGTAAAATATTGTTTAACATCATCAAATCTAAATATTAGATATATCTAAACATACAGAATCTTACAAGTCTATTTATATTCGTTTCTGACCCTAGTTGTGGTTTTTACTTATTTACAAAGTTGAATGACTTTTGAACAGTAGTTATCTTTCGATTTTATTCTGTTTTAAATAGCATGCTCGTGCCGGGAATTCAATGTTGGCCACGTTTACTGACTTTACAGCGGCAAACGTTCATCAAAGTTCTGGAATCGTCTCTGAAACACCCATTCGTCTTTTAGAAGCTTCATTCAGCATTAACTGATTAAACATTTCAATTTCAGAGTACATAATAATTATATACATGTAAAAGTAATAATAGACTTTTGTAACTTAATTAATGCGCATTCTCCCCGAACTGGGCGGTTGTAAGGGGGATGCTTTGCCAGAACCCACGGGAAACCAACCATCAACAGCGTGGTAGAAGTACTAATGATCAAAGTACTGTAAGTACTAAGGATACAAACGACAGAAAAAACATGTGAACGCTGGATAGGACGTAACTTTACACAAAATAAAGAGTTCAAACATCAATTAAATCAGACAAAAGCAAGTGTTACAATGATAAAATTGAAATTATGTACACGTAACTGAATATTTGGAATATGCATCAAATACTCATTATATCACAAACAATAAATATTGATAATTTGTTGGCGTAGGTTTAAACCAGTGCAATGTGATGATGATGGCGATAGAAATAATGGAACTAATTGCTTTGATAACAGTAGGAAAAGTGTTGTCCACAATCTATGAATGACTATGTGTAAAATATGCTCCTGTTGTATGTTTTCCTATAACATGGAGAAAGTATAGTAAGTCTTTTTTCGAAGTTTCATCACCTGGTCATAGTCTGGATACAACACCAGGACGCCATACAAAACAACATTTTAGTTTAATTCAGTCTTTTATTCATCATGCGTTAACTTTTCACATTTTTATCTTCTCCTCAAGAACAGCTGAGCTGATTTAAACCAAAGTGATCACTGGTATCAATATAGAAAGGAACCAAAAGTTTTGTTCCCCATCCTCTAGGGTTTACGGCATATGGCTAATACAGTGAAAACATGTTATTTTGACTAACCTCTACTTGAGACAAAGAATTTCTCTATAAAACACTTAAAATGGTTATGATGTCAAAGAGTAGCTCCAGCAAACTAGCCAAATTTGTGGTCTCTTAATGTACCATTAAGCCTCCAGAGATGGAGAATTTTTCAGTTCGTTTGATAAACCGTCAACATTTTGTATTGGCATTCGTTTGAAAATTATAGAAAGAGCAAAGATATTGCTCTCCAAGTTGTAAGATAATATGGTCGAGGGTCAGCAACATTTTTTTCCATGATTTTTTTGTATAGGTCACAAATAGCACTGCTAGAAAATGATGTGAAAATTTTAGTTTCAAAGTCGTGGGATCAAAGCTCGATGACACAGAAGTAATAAAATGTCATTTTTTCCGAACCTGTTATCTTTTTGCATATTTAGATATTTTGAAACATTTTTATCTCTTAACCAACACCTTTGTCTGATTGCCACATGCTGGTTATATATGGCATTCCATGTTGGACTTTGGAATTTGATCTATCTGCCTTTTAATATTTTGATATGATCAAAGATCTCAGAAAATCTTGTTTTTGTCACCAAACAATCCTTATTAATTAGTTTTAGCTGATAATCATATAACTGACTCATTCATTACTTGCTGTGAATGAGTAATACAATTCCAATGTAAAATCAATATAAAATATTTCCTGCCAACCATCTTGTCCTATAATTACAAAAGATCAAACATGTTTATGCTGTGTGCAATTTCTAAGAAAGTCCCCTGAGCACTTTTCTTTAAATTGCGGATAGAGGTACATTTACATCTATATTGAATACTTCATTACTGAGTATACTTTGTAAATTATCGGTATAGACACTTAATTAGACTAGACTCCCGTATATATTTCAAAGAGTGTTCCGAAATAAATCAACTAACGTAGCCTTTCAACTGACAACAAATAAACGGTCTTGACAATAACCGGAATTTCGTGTCCTTTAATAAGTCCGCATTGTCTTTGTTGTTTTCAATCCGCAATATTTAATAGTTTTATTTGTGAGGCTGTTCACGTTTTTTATCATGTCTGGTTCATTTCAACTTGTGCCCAATCCTCTCGTCACTGTTTTAACAAATACACATTCAGCCAAAAAAATACATGAATATCTATTACAATAAATAAATGGGAAATATCTATTTTTGTAAAAAAAAATTCCATCCCGATAATTGAGTCACGACATGAGCTATGTTTTTGGGGTACTTTATATATCAATAACAACAAAGACAGAAGCATATCCAGTAATGTAATTTTATAAAATGATGAATAACATGGCAGACATGGTAATAACAAAGTTAAACATGTTGTACAAACATATTTACAGTATAAACAATATCATAATCTTAATATAGCCACAAAGATGGAGCATGACATACGCCGAGCATTCATCGCGTTGTACAAACATGTATTACAATATGAACAATGTCATAATTTTGATATATTCAAAAAGGTAGAACATTAAATGACTAGGAAGGAAATGTGTCAAAGCCTAAAGGATAAAGCGTGGGATGGTGGGCCAAACCAGTTCCGCCACCAAATTTCCACCTTGTAAGATATTTTTTTGTCACGTGACCTTAATCCGCCTAGCCGATTGGCTTGTTTTGGCCGAAATGTTTCGGGTGTACTTGATTAAGCTTCAACCACCGGACTCTGTTACAACTGAACTTTCATAGCCGTTGACTTTTAAATGTTCGAAACGTTCAGCAAATATAAACTGATATCAAACAAACATGTTTGTGATATTCTTTTTAAAAACTATTTGAAGTTCCACTATAATTTCAAATATCGCTTGAAAAGAGATGGGCAAAGTGAACCATCTACCTCTTGTAATGGCGAGACAGAAGTTAAAGGTTGTCAACAAGCAGACTGAAAACATGCAAATGTTGTTAACATCTGGTAAGTGAAAATGAAGAGCTTCGCTTTCCTGTACACGTTTTACTTCAGTAATTCAATTGTAGAAATTTCTACGAAATACTTTCGAAGCATTAAAAAGATTTAGTTTGGATTACAAAATTTAGATTATACGAAGGATTTTACAAACATGAAATGGAAATGAATAAAAAATGCGATGCACTCTGATAAACCATGCTCAAAATCTGAAGTACAGATTGTCGTTGCTTTTTTTCTTTTATGTTCATAGCCTCTCTTAATTTATGAGGTCCGTGTAATTCCAGTATGTCGCTTTTATTAGAGAAGTCCTCGAATCTCGCTGAAAGCACCACTTCCTGCGATTTTGTTCATTGTATCATCGGTAATTCAAAATTTAATCGTGTTACACATCATTCTTTGATATTTTGAAATCACGATTAGTGGTCCTATCTGTTGATATTTCATGAATTTGTGACAAAAAAGGACGAAGAACGATGAAAAATTCCGACGAGAACCTTTACGTACAGTGTATGCCTCTCGCCAATCTAAGAAAAATAAACGTGGTTATGATTTTCAAAATGTTATATTCATGCAAAAAGGACATAATTTGAAAAGAAGTCGAAACGTAATGATCATTTCGATTCTGAGATGATAATTATTTCTTGTTTTCCAGGCTGATGCTGAGAGTCGCTATAACAGTAATGAACATGCAGTGTTCTTATTGGTCAAATGTACATGCGAGTTTTATGAATGAAAATGGTAAAGCTTAGTTCCCAACTCTCTTGATAAATGTCGTCATGGCTCAAATCAAATGCACCAAATAGAGGAATCAGCAGAGAGTCATTTGTGTCTAAAACGAAAGTATTCAAGGACTAAACAGAAGTGTTTACCGATCAGTTAAACAGATCATTCTTCCATATTTTATTCAATATTTCATAACATGATATTCTATGTTTGCTATTGCAGTAATGAATACACAGCGTTCTGATTGGTCATGATTTGAGATATTTCATGAATGAAATGATATAAATGAAAGTAGTACTTAAAAAAAACTGTGCTTAGATGACGTCATGACTAAATCATTTTAACGTAGAAAAGTTAACAGCATAGAAAATAAACGACTAAAGCGGTCAGTGTTAAAACTGAATAGAGTCTATAAACTAGCGCTTAACTCTTCCGGAGATAGAAAACGCTTACTTTTTACATCTTTTTATCCATGAAATAGTAGAACGTCATTACAGTTTGAGATAGCGGCAGAGGACATCCGAAAATACATTATAGGTATGTTTGATGTTTTGAGCCACTGCTCTCTGTAGTGATAGCAGAGGACATCCGAAGAGAGCTTACATTCTGTAGCTGCAGCAGTAGCGATAGACATGATTTGAGTGGAAAATAGAATGGTACAAATCAATACCTGGGGGAAAATTGTAGGAAACCTATCATGTTATTCATCAAAGCCATGCCTTATGTCTATTTCTGGAGAAGTTAAATCCCTCATACACGTTTTCATTAATAAAAGTGTCACGAGGTTCCACCATTTTATAGATATTTGTTATCCAAATGAGTCCTGTATTTCACACCCACGCACATCACATCAAAAGAAAATTAATATGTTTTGTTTGAAGAATAATTGACTCCCGTTGTAATTTCAGCTGTATCTCCCGTCTCCTTTCTTAATTTGGCATCGAAAAACATGGACGAACGACAGGACGGACGAACGAGTAAGTGATGCACTGTAACTCCCTGTCAATACTTCCCACACAAGTAAAAAATATATCAGGCATTAAGCTACGAGAACCAATAAAAGTCATCATCTTTGATCAACAAATATTTATATCTGCCGGTTCTTTTTGTATACATTCTTTCATGATATTGCAACAAATCGGAAAAAAATATTCTAACGGAAAGAGATATAAAACTCATATAAATCGTAATGTGTGTTATAAATCTGTTGGTTATTGATCTTTCTAGAAA